AAATGTACGTTTATAATTGTATTAAAGTTTTAAATCCTACAAGTATTATACCAGATGATTCTTTTATCATTGAACCTGAGCACCTGAGACACCTGAGCACATTTTGATAAAAAAAATCATGGTATGTGCAAAAATTTAATATGATTAAGTAAATTGTGTAGAACAAAACTTGAATTGCAGTCAATTTAATAACAGTAGTATAATAAATTAAGTTATTAGGCAGAACTTCAAAATAAAATATGAACACTGCAAAAGTGCAAAATAATATAGTTTTCATTCAATGTAAATACAGCCCAATATAATTTAAATTTTGTCACCCAATGGCCTATGTCACCGAGGATATATTACGTGTAAAAAAAAACATAATTCATAAAAATTATAAAAATGTAAAAATTACTCAACACCAGTAAATTTCCTTCGACATCAAAATCCATTATTAGATATTCAAAAAAACAATTAAGGGCCACCCGACGAAGGATTAATAATGACCCATACTTTAAGTCGAACAAAAGTTACCACATAATATCTTATTAAAATCGGTTGAGTAGTTTCATTAGCATTGGTATTTTTTTATTATATCATGTTATCTGACTTAAATTAAAATATAAACAGCATAATATTTATAAATACATCACTAGGTACCCAAAAATATATTATCTGCGTAACAATTAAAATATTCATTTCACAATTTAACGCCTGCACGGACCGTTACGTTATTTCTATATTACCTATATTGTTATACACAAAATATAGTGAACGAGTTAATTATTATTGCTTATTGAAAACTACAATTGTCTGGGTTTCAAGATGAAGACAAAATCATTTATAGCACTAGGAGCAATAGCCGGTATAGGATTGGTATGGATGAGCAGGCGATTTTTGTACAAAAAAGCAAKAGGACTTTTAAAGGTACACATAATTATGCCGAATATGTCAGCATAATCAAAAAGATAAACTTATTTTTTACAAACGTAGAAGTTAAATGCATTTATACACGAAATTAGGTTTTATAAAATATTGTGACTTAAACCATTAGAACGATCAAGATCTAGTAAATGTATAGAATACTTCGGCTGCTCCACTAACGATAGACTACGTCCGCGACATTCCAACGACTGATAGAGTAAGATTAATATGACTTTTAAATGTATACGCAATTAGGTATTATAAAATATTGTGACTGAAACCTTTAGAACGATCAAGATCTTAATAATTACTGGATAATATTTTAAGACATTTTATTAAAAAAAATTCTTTGTAAAGAAATAAGTTACAACGTTACAAGAGGCTGATAAGGGAAAAACGCACGCATCAATCAAGTAACCCGCACCACTGCAAAAGTGCGACATTCTCTCGTCACTCTTAATAAACTCAACCAACCCGCGGCACCGGAATTCCCCATAAATGCATTACATATAACGGTGCAGCTACAAAACTTAAATCAGTCTTCATCCTAACCCTCAACTRTCAAAAYAYAATARTACAATCAGGTGCCACCAGCGGCATACYTGAAGCGTATCCCGATTGTTATATATTATTATATTATTGTCACCAAGTGACATATATAACGGCCATTTTACGACCGATCCACTTAATTGCAGGCTTGCTGCACGTTATCGTTTCTGATGCCCAACCTCGACGACCGCCAGTTGTCAACCAGTTGCACACCAGCGACACACAACTCTGAAGTCGACTCAATGACCAACCGACGAATACCCCACGCCGATTTGGACTAGTCTCCGTGGAACCAAAATTGTCCTTTTCAGGACAACCTCTATATTGTTTAGGTCACACTTATCCGAATGAGACTCACGGAACGGATGCCACTTTCATAAGCGGCCCCGACGTGATCAGATCTCGTTCCCCACCCAATTTATGCACATACTACGAGCAGTACGAGCTAGTATTTATTATATTATATTAAAACACGTTGTTCCCACGTTTGTTCAAGKTTTCGAAGACCGCTACGCCATCGGTCYCMGRTTCCTYATWTTTRTATATAATATTATATTTACACAGAAATAAAAGGATTATTATTTACCAAATACCAACGAGTTCATTTTTACGAGACAGCAGCGCATTTAGCGTGCGTGCCGTATCATAGTT